GATCATAGTTCCTTTGAGTGCAGACTATATGCGAGGGTTAGCCTGCTGACACTTGCTTCTCTTGCCACAAACGCCGAACAGACATGCATAAGTGACAGTCGGAGAGGGCTGTGCTCTGCCCCGAGGCCGAATCTGCACAGCAGTCCCTCTAAACGAGTCGGTCATAGGAACAATATAAAGAGGCAACATGGAGGAATGTTGGGGAACAAATCTTAAACAGGGTTCATCCTTACTTCAACCCCCTCTAAGACCTTCTGGGTTTCGCAGCCACCATGACCGAACGCGTTCTCCGACTCAGCGTCTACCATTGCTTCAACCCTGACAAGCCTGAGGCAGAGGTGCACGAGTTCGTGACCAACGACCACGCGGTGAAGGCAGCCAAAATTCATCAGAAACATGGACTACTCGGCTACACGTTGGTATGGATCTCTTTTTTGTTGTCTCTAGTCGTTGCTCGGAAGCATCTAATATGCCCAATGGCAGTACTTCGCGCCTCAAAGTGCACAGAAGGTCCTGTCGGACTGGAAGAGGGTTGGCAGACGGAACTGGGAGCTGGACACCTACGATGCCTGCGTAGAGTTCTACTTCACGGACTTTGCGGTTATGGGAGCTATTGCGCAAGACCCGGACTTTGGCAAGTTGCAAGAGGCTGAACTGCCCTTCTTGGACGCCAGCCGTCCGCCCCGAGCCCACCTGGGATGGGTCCAGGCCTACATCCACGATGGTCAGATCATCAATGTCGAGGGGAGCAAGTCCGTCTTTCCTCCCTTTACCGAACTGTCCCAGATCGTCTTCCCCGGGGTGTCTGATGGGAAATAATTGGGGATAAGGAATTGTCAGAGGATGTTTGACTGCGGTGTCGATCTTGTGTTCCCGAGCATATTCTAAGATTGGGATTACAATCATCCTGCGAAACGGGTGTGCAGTAGCACGAGATAGTTGAAAATCACAGAAAGCCATCTCCAGGCACACCGCTACATGCAGAATATGACTAACAGCGCGCACGAAACGCCGACGCCGGCCATCTGTAGGCACTACGATAAATGCTTCTGCACACTGCTAGTAGTGTTGACCCCTGGTGGGCTTCTCGGTAGGCTCCAACGCCGAACGGGGTTTCATTGGGAATGCAGCCCGAGCTCATGACAGCAATTTCTATAAAGAGTATCTCAGGGCCTACCTCACTATGAGGCAGGCCTCCCTTCCGCGTCCAAAGCCTACAGCCTCCCAAGCAGATATTGTAGCTGACCTTTCCGCCATCATCCGTCTTCTTCTCCGTACCTCTCTCTTGCTTAATCCCTTACACGCCTCATCCGTCGACCTCGTACATCCGCCACCATGACGGCCCACAAGATACAGGCCCAGGACAGTCAAAAGGCCATGTTCCACTTCTTCAAATCTGAGTGGTTCGACTTTGAGTTGGTGCGCCTACTGGGATTCGCTCCTTACGAGGGCGCGGAGATCGCCGAGGTGCTCCAGGCGGTGGGCTCTATCCGAGACAGTGATGCAGAGAGCTGGCACACCGCATGGCTGCGTGCAGGTAGCAAGACTGAAGCTTTGGCGCAAGAGGCCGAAGACCGGGGAGATCGTCTCACGGCGCGTCGGGCGTACCTGCGCTCCTCCAACTATATCCGGGCGGCGCAGTACATGCTCTCCAGCCGAAAGGGCCACATCGACCCGCGCGTGCTGCCGACGCTGGAACGCGCTATCGCTAATTTTCGTCGCGCGACACAGCTGATGGATGGTGATGTGCACTGTCTAGAGATTCCCTACGAGAAGCACATTGCCTTGCCCGGCTACCTGTATCTGCCCCCAGCCGAACGCAGGCTCTCCGACGGCAAGATCCCCATCCTCATCAACATCGGTGGCGGCGACTCCACACAAGAAGAATTGTACTTCATCAACCCAACCGCGGGGGTTCAGCAGGGATATGCAGTTCTGACCTACGAGGGGCCGGGCCAGGGAATCCTTCTGCGACGTGAGGGACTGACGATGCGACCGGATTGGGAGGTGGTCAATGGTAAGGTGCTGGACTTTCTGGAAGTGTATGCACGGGAGCATCCCGCGTTGGATCTGGACCTCGACCGGATTGGCGTCTGTGGCGCTTCAATGGGGGGTTACTTTGCGCTGCGAGCGGCGGCCGATACGCGGGTCAAGGCGTGCATTTCCATCGACCCATTTTACTGCATGTGGGACATCATGAAGGGGCGCATGCCCGAGTATCTCATCCACATGTTTGAGACAGACCAGGGCTGCGCGCCTGACAGCTTCTTCAACGGGCTGGTACGGTTCCTCCAGTGGGCTAACTTCCAGGCTCGTTGGGAGTTCAATCACCTCAAGACCATCTTCGGGGTAGAGGCTCCCTCCGACGCTTTCCGCGCCATGATGACCTACACGCTCAGTCGGAGCGACGAGAAGGAGTACCTCGCTGACGTCCACTGCCCCGTGTTCGTCACCGGCGCCGCCGCCGCCCTCTACGCAAAGCCCGAGTTCAGCACGGACCGCATCTACAACGCCCTCGGCCATCTCCGTGACCAGGACAAGCTCAAGTGGATTGCCGCCGATGCAGCTCAGGGCGGGTTGCAGGCGAAGGTCGGAGCCTTTGGTCTTTCTGCTCATCGAACATTTGCCTGGTTGGATCAGCATTTCGGGATCGACCGCAAGATTGCATACAAGCCGAATTAGGGTCGCCGACGCAAGGGGCCCCAAACATAACGCCGAACCACCGAAAATACCGAATATTCTAATAGCGCTGATCCTGAGCCTGGCATGCTGCATGAGTTTGAGACACTTTCATGGTTTCGCCTCATCCCTCGTGGTAGTGGAGTACTTCATAGAATCCAATCAATTTGTTGACACCTCAGCCACGCTCGCAGCACGGCCATGCCAGATACCATGATATTCAGGGGTAGCACTTCTGCTCTTATCGCATCGTAAATGGCTATAGTAAAGTTCTTCGAGAGTACGTATACAAGTAGTGCCGACTTCCTTGTATTCGTCCACAAAAGGAGGGGGGTTAAGGCATAGGTGACCTAAATATATATTGTCCGTACGCTACCAACACCAAGCGACAATGTTACATAAGAAGCCCGTCAATTGCTTCGTTTAAGACCTCTTATTACGTGGTGATTGTTCTCACTGAATTATAGATCTACCGGTAGAGTGAAAGACGCTCAAAACCCCAGTCTCGAACCATCGTGTAGCCTGTCTGTCCATGTATACTACATCATCATGTACAGGCCATCCTATCCGATCTCTCGTATCAACAATGCCCCTCGATTTCTTTCGCCCGATAAGGTTCCTCCAGATATGCCTCTTCTTCTGGAGACAGCCTTTTCCCGCGTGCCATCAGGGCCTCCTCGATGCGTTTGACACTGGTAAACCCGATCACCGGGGCGGTCACTCGCTTGTTCAGCCAGGCCAGCGCTACCTCGGTCATCGTCCATCCCCGTCGGATGGCCACCGTGGCAACGCGGGTGATGATCTCCCGGTCTTCAATGCTCTTCCCGTAGCTGAAGCGCGGATTCTCGGAGTCGTCCGCGGTGCGTGGTGACTGCCCATAGACGTCATACGGACATGCGAGATGCCCGGAGGCCAGGGGCGCCCACTACACCGGATAGAGGTCACGTTAAGGGACATTCGAGCAGGGGCATTGGGGGTCTGAGCGAGATACACTTACTGGTAGGAGTGCGATGTCATTCTGACGGCAGTACCGGTTCATCTCGCGCTCCTCCTCGCGGTAGAGCAAATTGTAATGGTTTTCCATGCAGACGATCTTGTGCCAACCATTGCGCTCGGCAATCAAATTGAGTGTGGCCAGCTCGTGCGCCCACATGGAGCTGGCTCCAATGTAGTGCACTTTTCCCATCGTCACCAGGTCATGTAGAGCCCGCATCGTCTCCTCGGGCGGGGTCTGAGGGTCATATCGGTGGATCATGATCACGTCCAAGTAGTCCGTGCCCAGCCGGGTCAGCGATTCCTGGACTTGGTGAAAGATGCTCTTCCGTGAAAGGCCTGTAGGGGGTGGAGCAGAGCAGTCAGCGGTTGATTGCTGCGTTATCGTGAACTCATTGAACCTACCGTAGGTATTGACTAGGTCCTTGCTCCTAGCCGCCAGCGGAGCCATGAAAGCCACTACATCCTTCTCGCCGCCATCGTCGGCCATCACTCGACCGACTTTGCTGATTAGAACTACCTTTCTTCGTGGAATTTGATACTTGCGCAGCGCCCGACCAATCAGTGTTTCAGACAGGCCATTAGAGTAGACATTGGCCGTATCCCACTGTAGCAAGCCGAAATGCCGTCCGTGTCAGCGTGTGGCATCAACATAGGACATTTACATACCGTATTGATGCCGCGATCAAAAGCGGCTTTGAGGAGCGGCAGCGCCTGATGGAGCATTGCTCATTAACTACTGGTGCATCCTATTGCCAGAAGGGGATCCTACTCGTTCTTCTTCCACCACCCAATTCCACCATTCGGGATCGCCGATGCCCATACATCCCATGATTGGATTCGACACCACCAGACCTCCCACTTGGCGATATTCCACCTTGGTGTCCGCAATGGACTGAGTAAGCTGTTCAGGGATCGTCGTGAATGGCGCCATAACGGAATTTTGACCGGGACAATATGGGCCATGTCAGTCCCACCCGAAGGCAGGCTATATCATCCTCTGTCGTGTAATGAGGTTAATGCCAGCATTCCACGGACAACGGTCATTCATGCAGGACGAAGTATCACAATCGCCGATGGCGCATCGGGAGCTGACCACGTCGGCAGTCGATCATTTTCGGTGAGCCGAAGCTTGCGATATGCAAGCCCAGCTGCGAGGGAGATCACCCCTCCCCCTCCCCGATTCGGCGGGACACTGGCTTAGACATTCATCATTTGGCGTGCGAAACAATGAAAAAGAGCAACGTTGAACCGGGCTACGTCCAAGATGGAGAGCTCCCACCACCATGCCTCTCCTTATCGAAACACCGACCTTAGCCCGCACTGATGGTTCTACCCAGGTCTGTCTGTGCCAGTGCGCCCTGTGATGATCCCTGTGGAACCTAACCGTTCATGTGCTTGATAGATCTCCCTCTTGGAAAAGCCAATCGGCGAGTGTTTCCGGAGAGTGGTAAGCGCATCCCATGACCGGATCGCCATACATAGCGGCACCCGTCACATCACCTACGGAGAGTTGCACGCGCAGAGCGATGCCTTTGCTGTGGGACTGATCGAGCTCGGCATTCGGGCTGGGGATCGGGTGGCCCTCAGTCTGGGGAATGGGATCGAGTACGCCGTGGTAAGTCTTCGCGGTTGATCCACACTGAGGCCGAATCAGCCCTGACATTTCCGTCGCCCGCCGGTCTAGATTGCCTACGCCTGCTTCAAATTGGGGGCCATTCTGACCCCCCTCAACCCTGGCTACCTGCCTGGGCAGGTTATCCATGCTTTGAACCACATCACCGCGCGATGCTTCATCACCAGCACCGAGATCAAGTTACCGCACAAAGACCCGCGTCTGACCAGCGAGCTCTTGCAGGAGATCGCGACCAGTTCCGATCCCAGCACCCTCTCCACCACCGTCCCTTCTCTGCAGCACCTGCTCCTCATTGACAACTCCGCAGGTCGGGTCGATGCCACCACACTCCCCGTCACCGCCGACTATGAGGCCCTGATCCTCGCGCACGGCAGCCAACGACTGCCACCGCAGGACCAACTGGGCGTCGAGGACTTGGCCAATCTGCAGTTCACGTCCGGTACAACCTCCGCCCCGAAGGCCGTATGCCTGACGCATCGCAACATTTTGAACAACGCCTACCTGGTGGGCCAAGGCATGGAACTGACTGCGGGAGATGTCGTCTGCTGTCCCCCGCCGCTGCACCACTGCTTCGGCCTGGTGCTTGGCCTTCTGACTGCCATGGTTCACGAGGCGACTCTCCTGCTGCCATCCCCCAGCTTCGATGCGCGGGCCACCCTCCAGAGTATTGCTGAACATAATGCCACCGTGTTGTACGGTGTCCCGACGATGTTTCTCATGGAACTCGACCTGATGTCACAAGGGCAAGTGCCCAAACTCCCCGCCACCACCTCCTTCCGCTTAGTTTTGATCCATCCCCCCCGACCACCTCTAACTTAACAGCGTACAGAGTCTTCCAAAAGTCGGCCCTTCGACACCTCCGCACGGGCATTATTGGTGGCAGCCCCATCGCCCCTAGCCTGCGCCTTCGACTCCACCAACACATGAATCTTTCCGGTTTAACCAACTGCTACGGCCTCACCGAAGCCTCGCCCATTGTGTGCATGACGGGGGTCCTGGACTGCCTCGACAAACGTCTCACGTCCGTCGGGCAGGTGCTGCCCCACACGGCGATCCGCATTGCTGACCGCAACACCCCCACGCGCACACTCCCCCGCGGGGACCACCAGCGCGGGGAACTGCAGATCAGCGGTTACGCCGTGATGGCCGGATACTGGAATGCGCCAGAGGAGACGGCACGGACCCTGTTGGTGGATGAGGAGGAAGTTGATCCGCAGACGCAGCAGAAACGAATCTGGCTGCGCACGGGGGACGAGGCGACCATGGGGGTGGACGGCACGATCCGCATCACCGGGCGCATCAAGGACATCATCATCCGCGGCGGAGAGAACATCTACCCTGGCGAGATTGAGGATGCCTTGCTGACCCATCCGCAGGTCGCCAATGTCGGTGTCGTTGGGCTGGCGGATGCCACGTATGGGGAGGTGCCAGCCGCGTTTGTAGTGTTGCGCGTTGAGACGCCGCCGGAAGAGTTGCGGGCGTGGGTGCGCCAGAAATGTCCTGGGGCCATGGTGCCAAAACATGTGTTTGCAGTAGACCGGTTGCCTTTGACGGCGAGTGGGAAGTTAGAGAAGTATAAATTGCGCGAGATGGGAGAACGGTGGCTGCAGTAGGATTATCCTGCAATCGCTTTGGATCGTGTGCATTCCCTTCTTCGTCCTTTAGCAAATATGTAGCGTACCATTCAGTTATGGTCCATATTTTTTCATGACTTATGGGACTTGGGCCCATATGGTAATGATTCGGAAGTACCTATTCGATCTCAACTAATGTCCCCCTATATATATATTCACCCTGACGACGTTTGTAGAACTCTACGCGCGTGACGTTTCCATACTCACAAATATATGCCTTACGATACTATTATCACTATTATTCAATACCTCTCGAAAAACCTTAATGATGATGTTATTATTATTAATTATTCGTGGTACTTGCCATTTTCAAGTAATCAGGGAGACCCTAACTCTTAGACCAAGGCATATGAGAATAATGAAACACCTCAGCAAAGCGTCAGTACCACCCGAATATCATCGGAATCTGCTTAGGCCAACACTGGCATCCGCTCATGCTACGCCTGCTAAATAAAATGCCTACGTGCGTAACAATATCTCTACCCCCTGATAAGAAAATTATTCAGAAAAGGCAATCCAAAATGGCCGTGTAGATTTATTTATAAAGCTGCCCATAGGGCCGTTCGTATACTTCTTCGAGGGCCTTGTCATTTTACTGACTCCGATATTCTCTGCTTCCCCCCAAATTTCCACCCAGCTGCAAATCAAAGAGCGGGTATGATGATGGTATCGTAGCAAGGCAGAAAATGTGGAAGATAAGCATCCGTTGCAGATATCCCTGGACCTTGCCTAACGCCGATTCGGAAACGGCCCACCAAGATCAGGTAATCTAGTATGCACGCGAGCTATATATAATGAGCTTCATCCAGTCGTCTAGAGCAATCGCCAGCATCATCAGGAGAGTTCAAATGCAGAGCAACGCTTGCTACGGAAAGGACACCAGAGTGTCTCTTAGCGCATGCGCCACAACAGTGATCATTAGTCCGACACGACCCCCCACGGCCGGTGGCATCGTCCATCCCCAATGGGACAAGGTAAATCTATATCTTGTAGGGCACCCGGGAAGGCCCCCTTTGGGGCTAGCTCTCCTGCAACGACCGCTTGATCCAAGCGATCGTCTTGGTCATCCCTAGCTCCCGCGCACTGATGGCCTGGAGAGTGATGGACACCACCTCGTGCATCGCCGTCGAATGGTGACTGGCGCCCATCTCATGGCACAAGCTTCGGGTGGCTGCCAGTGCCGGCACATCCGGGAGCAAGACCATCTCGCGCAGCCGACTGAGCAATTGCTCCGCGAGCTGCAGAATGACGGCGATCTGCAACCGCGGGGAGGAGGCAGGCAGGGAGAAGGCGCCGATGTTGAGGGCCGGGAGCCCGATCCCCGTGGCGGCGAGGGAGGCGCCGCCGTGCTCCTGCCATGCTTGAACGTGGGCAAACATCTGGCTATAGCTTTCTAGAACCCGCAGGTGGCACGACAGCACGAGCAGGATGGACGCGGGGTCCAGGCTGCGCAGAGTTCGAGGCAGCTGCGGTGGGCCAGGAGGCGGGCTCTGCGCGGGTGCCCCCGTGGCGGACGGGGCGTCCTGCTGGCTCAGGAGGTCGATGAGCTGCTGAGACAACAGGAAGGTTTGATCCACGGCGAAGGTCGGTCGGTCCTCATCCAAGTCATGGTCAGGGGCCGAGGTGGGCGAGGACCTCCGTGGCGTTTCTCGTGGCTGTCGGTGCGCAATCTGCTGGGCGTGTGTGAGCAGCTTGACGTTGAGGCGGGCGAGCTCTGCCACCCATTCGGTGCGGTTTGCAATGGAAGTGGGCTCGGGAGGGCTACTGTGCGGCTGGGGGGCTATGCGTGAGGCCGGCGGGGTCTGGAGGGGATGGCTGGGCGACAAGGGGGAGGTAGAGGTAGAAAAGGTGGTGGTCGTCAATGCTAGCTCGCCGGGGATGAGATCCCCGAGGGCCACGGGGGGTGAGGTGTTCAGCAGATGGTCCCAACTGAACCCCTCGACCGGGGTAAAAGGGTCGCATGTTGCGGCGGGCAAGGGGTCGAGCATCCCCACCGGCTTCGGGCATGGCAGCCCCGGATGAAGAGGCGCTGCGGACGGGTCGAGCTCCAGCAGGGTGGACGAATCGGGGGACCACAGGGAGCCCGTCCTCGTCGGATGGAGGGCGCTATTTAAAGCTTGAGAGCACCCAAGCCTCTTGGCCTCGCTGGGCGATGTGCGATGCCGGGTTGGCGGACTGAAGACGCAGACGAGGCTGGCGCGAGCACATCGAACACAGGCCCTCTCATGTTCCGACCGGATACAGCGCAACTTCTGAGTATGGCACCGATCGCATGCCCGCCGGATCTTCGACGTGGTGGTTAAGTTTGTCATCTCAGGAGCCAGCAAAGGAAACCTCCGCGCCCCATCTTGGCCTCCATTTGTGAGAGCATTGAGGATTAATAAGGGAGCGAGATCCCAGAGAAGGGGGTGGCTGACTCTGTATCAAGCTGAGAGAATGTCAAGACGAGCCTTACTGGTCTTGGCCAAGCCACCAGAAACCTAAAGCAGCTGTAACATCTGTCTAGCAGCAGGCAGTTCAGAGACGTGGTCGTCAGCACCGCGTAGGTGAGATAACGCATCGAAGAGGATGATACCTACAGGGGGTTGCCAGACGACCTAGTATGCAGGCCAAGAAGGCTTACAGAGGAAGACAGAGAGAGAGTCATGAAGAAGAGAATTAAATAGCCCGAGCCTATGTACATGCAGAGCTTTGTATAACCCCCTCCGGCAATGGACAACGAAATAATTCTACTAGAGCGAAGGAACCAGCAGAACCTTCCTTCATTACTATTGTTAAATATATTGTGATACTCCAGGCATCCGATATGGAAAACAAAACTAACTGCTTCTTTATCTCACTTATGAAATAGACCACGGTGGGTACCCCAGACCTAGATCAAGGGGGACAACAAACGGAACTATCCGCGCCGAGTGGACGGAGGGAGGAAGCAAGGGGGGAAGGCAGTCAGCATCAGTTCGGGACATGGATCGCGAAATCGCAACCACCCTCGCTGGCGCCGGAGTCGAGACGATCATCAGGCGGTCATTTGGAGGAAGAATGCATCCATGGGTCACCGTCTGACTGACTGGCCGAAGATCGCCTGGTGGAGAGGCTCTGGAAACAACTCTAATTCGAGGCTGTCGGAGGGGCGGTCTTAAAGCGCTTTTAACTCCGAACCTGGAGAATGATGGGCAACCCTAGCTGGCATGGGAGGCCCGTTACATTCACCCCAGTTCCCCCAGTGCTTCCCCCTTCTTCCTCCCGAATAAAGATGCCTCGGGACCCCTGAACCTACACCTGCACCTGAATTTCGAACTACTCTCTCCTCTCCCCAGAAAAACTGAGCCAGAATGTCGAGTGAGAAGCAAACCGCCCCGAATGCTCCCTCCCCTCCAGCACCACCGCCACCGTCAGATCCTCCGCGGCGAGATTGGCGCTTTTGGGCCATTTTCCCTCCGCTATGCGTGGCTACATTACTGTCAGCGCTAGAATCTACGGTCGTGTCGACGGCCCTGCCCTCCATTGTGGATGATCTCCACTCGGGAAATCTGTACATCTGGTTTGTCAATGGCTACTTCTTAACTTTGTAAGTGTCCCCTTTCCCCTCCCCCTATGAACTGCTGCTGGACATCTCATCCTGAACGCGATCTCACACACACTCACACACAGCACCGCTTTCCAACCGCTGTATGGCCAGTTGGCCCAAGTGTTCGGCCGGCGCTGGCTGCTGATCGGGGCCGTGGCAATATTTGCATTGGGCAGTGGCATCAGCGGCGGTGCCAGCAGCTCAGCCATGCTGCTGGTTGGTCGAGTCCTTCAAGGCGCAGGTGGCGGCGGCATCAGTCTCATGACACAGTTGGTCATTAGTGACCTGGTGTCGGTGCGTGAACGAGGCAAGTTCATGGCCATCATCTTCACCACCTTCTCGCTGGGGACCTCGCTGGGCCCGTTTATTGGGGGCGCGCTGGTCGACAACACCACCTGGCGCTGGGTGTTCTACATCAACTTACCCATCGCCGGCGCCGCCCTCGTCTTGCTGTACTTCTTTCTGCAGGTCCATTTCCAGCGGCGACTCACGGTGCGACAGAAGATGAGCCGCATCGACTTCGTGGGTAATGCCATTCTGATTGCCTCGGTCACCTCCGTCCTCATTGCCCTCTCCTGGGGCGGATCCCGGTATAGCTGGCGCTCCTGGCATGTGCTGGTTCCCCTCTTGGTCGGATTTGCGGGCACGGGCTTCTTTCACTTCTACGAAAGTACCCGCTTCTGCAAGGAGCCCACGTTGCCGACACGTATCCTCGCCAATAACCGGACCACCTCCATTGTTCTCTTCTGTTCATTCTGCCAGTTTCTGCTGTCCTTCTGGACCATCTACTTCCTGCCCATCTACTTCCAGGGCGTCCTCCTCGTCTCCCCCGAGCGCAGTGGCGTCTTACTCCTCCCGTTTGTCATTACCAGTCTACCCATCGCCATGCTCTTTGGCAATCTGCTCACCCGTTGGGGCCGGTACAAGCCCATCCACATTGTGGCTTTCATGCTGATCACCCTGGGCACCGGGCTGTTCATCCGCCTGGATCAGCACTCGTCCATGGCGGAGTATGTCATCTTCCAGATCATCACCGCTGTGGGCACGGGGATGATCATGTCGACCTTGCTGCCCGCCGTGCAGGCCCCATTGCAGGACACTCAGGTGGCCCCCGCGACGGCGACTTGGGGCTTCTTGCGAGCGTACGGCGGCGTCTGGGGGGTGGCCATCCCGGGCGCGATCTTCAACTCCCAGATCCAGACCAATCTGAGCAAGCGCGTGAGTGATCCGGATGTGCGACGCACCCTGGGGAGTGGATCGGCCTACTCGCATGTCTCAAGCTCCTACATTCGCTCCCTGCCCGCCGACGTCCGCGATGATGTGGTCAGCGTCTATGTCGACGCCCTCCGCATTGTGTGGGCCACCGCCACGGCGTTTGCTGGACTGTGCTTCCTGCTCACCTTGCTGGAGAAGGAGGTCCCCTTGCGCACCTCGGTGAAATCAGACTACGGGATGCGTCGTCGTGAGCAGGAGAAGACGACCGCAGGGGATAGCAATGGGAATGCGGAGTCCAGCCAGTCCAACTCGAGCCCGGACGCCTCGTCTACACCGCGCCCTGCTGACCCGCATTCATCATAGACTTTTTCTCCAACTCTTGCCTCTTCTGTATTGACTCCTCCTGTGAGACACCTGCCTTCTTTTTGTTTTTTTTTTTTTTTTTTTTTTTTTTTTTTTTTCTCTTTTTCTCCTCACTTCTCACCGGTAGCTACACTGGCAGAATTGTACCAGTCAGCGTCAGCTACGTCTCTAATACCATTTAATTCGATGTGAATATTGTGTCGATTACCATACGTAGTAGGACGTTGATGCGATGTTACAGTAGTCGACGTACGCTCTTAACTGTATGTAAGATGGGTATGAGACAGTCACCGTGCCAGGCTGTGTTGTCCAGTTCCAGGAAACTGCCAGATATTGGCATTGTAGCTTATTTCTTTCCCCGTCCCCCGGCCCCGCTCTTGACCACCCAAGCTTCGCTCACCCAGTGAACCCTGCTACGAACCCATGGAACCACCGATGGAGTCGGCGGCTCTCCATTCCGCTCGCGGAAGCTCGAGACTCATTGTATATTTCTCTCAACGCCTCGGAAGGCTGTGTGATCTACCATTCTACCCAGATCCTGCCTACGCTCGGCTTTAAAACACAAAACGATGGACGTGAGATTGGGTGTCAATTAACATAGGATTTGTGCAGGCTCGCTAAGTTACTCGGGCGTGCTAACTCCCTCGTTAAGTATTCGCCTACTGCGAGTTGTTGGTGCCGTCCGCGGGCTTGCGGTAGTTGGGATCCATGGTAATCTCCTGCATCTCCTCGAACGTTCCGTAGGTCGACTTGCCGTTCTCAATGTGCACCACCTTGCCGTGCTCGACAAACGTTTCGACCCAACCGAGACTGGTGACCACATGGTGCTTGGAAATGTAGGGCACCTCCTCCGCCTGCAGAGCGTGGAATTCCGGGTCCCGGCTGACCTTGGAGAGGTCCTCGAGCGTCTTGAAGTAGAATTCGACGGCAAAGTCATGATCGTCTATTACCCAGCCCCGGTTCGCCTTCTGATTCATGGCTTCGACGACCTTGCGGGTCTTCTCGGGGGTGTAGACCTACAGAAAAGAGTTCAGTCCGGGACAATTTGGGGCCCGAGGGGAGCGGGGGAAAGAAATCCTACTTGAGCGTATCCCCAAATGCCATGCTTTTCGTGCAAATGGGCAGCCTTTTCGGCAAAGAGAGTGCCGAACTTGTGGGCTTCAGCTTCCGTCTTGTCCTCGGTCTTGTAGTGGGCGATGCGCAGACGCAAAATACGGTCGCGGGTGCCGTAGGTAGACATGATGAGATGATGAGATGATGATAGTTGGGGTGATGATAATGGGAATTGGGATCAGAAGGAATGTTAAGGCCTTGCGGGGGTGGTTCGTTTAGCTGCCAGCCTCTTTATAGCCAGGACAGAATGGGGAAATTGAGTCTCAGCTTCAACCTCCAAGCGGAGGAACGGACATAGCGGAGTTAAGGGCCCAAAGGACCGGACCCAGTGACAGAGAGGGTATCTGGCAGAAAGTGGATGGCCTGAACACATGGAGCAGCCGATCGCGCTTGTCGATCCATCCCTTGCTTGGTCCAGCCCGTTCTAGGGTTGTCCTATCACCATGCGACCGAAACGCCGACGCAGCCGACAGCGCCGAGGAATGGGCTGGGGATTAGGGATGCATATGCATGCATGCCTATAGTCCAGATCAAAGACCGTAAGAGATCGACCAGACCGGATGGCGTCTCAAAAGAGAAGACCCGGCGCCTCTCGCCCTCCGCTTCTGGCGAACGGGTGAAGGACGACACTCACTCGAAAACAGACAGCTGAGGCATCAACCATGGAGGTGGGACTGTTCCAAACAATGGTGGCCAATGCCAATGGCCTCATACTGGCCGTGCTCGTGGTAAGGATGGGTCCCGCCCGATGCTTTGATTTGAAGTTTAGGATGGGATCGACCAACCTCTAAAATTGGACTGTGCGCGTTTTCTAGTCTCTGGGTTGCTGGGTGATCTACACGCTCTATTTCCACCCCCTGGCCCGAATTCCGGGCCCCAAGTGGTGGATCATCAGCCGGATTCCCTACTTCCGCAGCATTACGACCGGCCAATTCATCCACTCGGTGCGGGCCCTGCACGAGCGCTATGGCCCCGTGGTGCGCCTGGCGGCCAACGAAGTCTCCTTTACCGATCCTCAGGCGTGGCAGGATATCTATGGTCATCACGGCGGCGAGCGGGCCTTTCCCCGGAATCCCGTCTGGTATCAGCCCGCCTTGAATGGCGTGCACCACATCTTGTCTGCAAGCAACAGCGACCATGCCCGCATCCGCCATCTGCTCTCGCACGCCTTTTCTGAGCGGGCGCTCAAGTCCCAGGAGCCCATGATTCAGGTCTTCTTCAACCTCCTCATTGAGCGCTTGCGCCCGCTGGCCGACGGGCGACAGGCCATCAACATCAATGACTGGTTGCAGTACACCACCTTCGACATCACCGGCGAGCTGGAGTTCGGCGAATCCTTTGGCTGTCTGGAGAAGGGCGAGTATCATCCCTGGATCAAAGTGCTGCTGTCGAACTTTCGGAAAATCATTCTCTTTGGGGCCAGCCAGCTGATCCCGGGACTGCGGTTCCTGGTTGGGCTGACCATCCCCAAGGCCGTGATGCAGCAGCGCCAGCAGCACTTCAGCTACACCGTTGACAAGGTCAGCCGCCGGCTGGCACGAGGCAACGACCCCATGCGCCCCGATTTCCTCACCTACATCAACCGCTACAACGAGGATGAGAAGAAGGGGATGAGTCGCGCTGAAATCGACTCGACCTTCAACGTCCTGGTCATAGCTGGCAGCGAAACCACGTCGACTTGCATGACCGCCACCCTGCACTGTCTCCTCCGCAATCCGGCCACCCTGCAGCGTCTCCAGACCGAGATTCGCTCCACGTTCGCCCATGACTCGGACATCACCTTCGATAGCACCATTCCCCTGCCCTATCTGAATGCTGTCATCGAGGAGTCCCTCCGCCTGTGTCCCCCCGCCCCGACCATGTTGCCTCGCGTGACTCCAGCCGCGGGGGCGTATGTCTGTGGATACTGGCTGCCTGGAGGGGTCAGTTTTCTCTCTCTCTTTCTCTCTCTCTCTCTCTCTCTATATATATATATCTCCCCAAGTCCCTAGACCGTCACTAAATCGCTGACTCGTACCTGGAATGCAATAGACCGCCGTCGAAATCAGCCAATATGCCATGAGCCGCTCCCACGCAAACTACGGCGATCCCGATCGCTTCATCCCCGAGCGCTGGCTCGTCGACGAGAAGCCCAATCTCCACCCGCATGATGCCCGCGCGCACCGGCCCTTCAGCTTCGGTCCGCGTAACTGTCTCGGCCGCAGTCTGGCCTGGATGGAGATTCGCTGCGTGCTCTGCAAGCTGTTGTGGAACTTCAACCTGCGGATGGAGAGCCCGGACTACGAATGGAACGAGCAGGGCACCTACGTGATGTGGGACAAGAAGCAGATGCTCATCAGTCTAACACCCGTGAAGCGGTAAAAGGGGGTGCCATGCTTAGCTGGGGGAGGAGGGGGTATAGCATGGAACACTCGGAGCTCTGCAGTTACTTCGTCCTGTGACAGTGCGCCATCCACATATATGAGAGTATACACGAGAGTAATTCACGTATGGAAGTACAACACAATCAGAAGTTTAGAATGCATTGCTAGAGATATATGTGCACTCTCTACAGACCTGGATCATTAGGATATAAACTCCGATAGCTCATCAATCATATAGTTACAAGCGTCACGTAGGCACATGCTTAGACTGCTTCCTTGGTCCAGGGATGCTGGCAGGCCCGCTCCGCCGCGGCGGGAAACAGCTGCCAGCCATTCATTCCAATCGTCTCCGGAGGGATGCCATTCTCCATCTCAAAGCGTCCGACATCCAACCGATTCTCATCCATGGTGGTCGCGGTCGAACAGGGCACACCACAATCCGACCCATACACACAGTGCACCACGCCACACATGCGCACCGCCGGAGCCAAGCCGGTCTTGGCTGTCGCGGCCGTATCGACATAGAGACGACGCAATGTCGCCTCGACCTCGTCGCGACGAAGCCCCTGCGGGTTCGGGACCCAGCTCTCCGTCCCCAGGAGGGCCAGGCGACCCGAGAGGACCGGCACCGCGGCGCCGCAGTGGCCCAGCACAAACACAATGTCCGGGAAGTCGCGGAACACCCCCTGATAGAGCATCGCCACGACGGTGCGCGTCGTATCCAGGGCCACTTCGACCAGGGGCGCCGGTAGCCCATGCTGCGGCGGTGCCAGGGCATTCGGGTGGATGTGTACGACCGCACGGCGTGTGTGAAGCTCCTCCCACACCGGCCGTAGTCGGGGGTCCGCCAGCGACACCCCGTTGTAGACCGTCGAGGTGGCAAACCCATCGGCGGGAATGCGATAGTGCTCACTGTTGCGGTCCGTCACCCTCTGGATCTCCTCCAGACAGGCGTCTGGATTGTCGGTGGGCAGCCCCGCCAGCAAGCCGAATCGGCCTGGCCACTGTCGCACCATCTGCGCCCCGTAGTCATTGGATTGTCGGAGGCCCTCCACGGGGCCCGGTGGAATCGCGCTGAGCATCTGCAGCTGAACGCCGGCGGTGTCGTTGTACCGGAGGGTCTTGTCGGCCTGCCAGTGGTAGGGCTCCTGCACCAAGAAGCACGCTTGATGGAAGGCCTTCATGCCTTCTCGGGCAGCGGCCTCGCTCTTGGGGACTTGGAAGTGCCCGTGGATGTCCAGCCACCCGGTCGGTTGTCTTGCGGACGTCATTTTCGCTTGCGGGATGATGGTCTCTGCCCATGCCAGAAGACCCAAGGGGCAAGTTGGTTGTAGGCGAGTCAGACCTTTGGGTTGTCAGAGACGCTGCAAGGGATTGCGGGTTAGGGCGTTCGCTGCAAACGTCATGACCGCGGCCTTATATCCGCTAACCCCCGGACCCAGACAACCAACCTTCTCTGCGTCTGAAAGCTTATCTCCGAGAGCATGAGCAGTTAGGTCCGTCTTAACTCCATCTCCGTTCGGCGGTCCACTAGGGCCGTTTGATACACGCGATCATGGTGATCGCATCCTTGCTTCATGACTGACCATTCACTATACCGTTCGCCGCAGTCGGATGTAGATCCATAGGGCAATTCGGACGCCGATGACGCCCACGACAAACGCGGGAATAGTTATCTGGGATGTCTACAACCGGCGTATCTAGTTCATGAGCAGCATGACCTTCGGTTATCCCTCTTGCTGAACACTGGCAGTCCTTGCATTCCTTCGGGCCAGCTCTCGCGCACCAACCCTCCGATGGCTCGTATCGATTTGTCCGAGTTGACTATCGCCAAAGTGCACACGGCATTCCGCCGCGGAGACTACAGTGCCGTGGATCTGGTCCAAGCTTATTTGAGACGCATCGACCAGGTGAACCCGCGGCTCAATGCCATCCTGGCCATCAACCCGAATGCGGTCCAAGAAGCTCAAGCCCTGGACGATGCCTTCCGAGCTTCCCGCACATTACGCCCACTCCATGGGGTGCCAGTGCTGGTGAAGGACAATATCTTCACCACCGCGATGCCGACTACTTATGGTTCCAAGGTCGCCGCGTCGCGCCCAGTATTACCCCTCGACGATGCCCAGGTGATCAAACAGCTGCAAGGCGCCGGGGCCATCATTCTGGCGAAGACCACTCTGCCGGATTGGGCGACCGACTTCTTCAGCGCCTCGACTGTCTCGACGTGGACCCAGAACCCCTATGACTTGGCTCGAGACCCGGGCGGTTCCAGCAGCGGCACCGCCGCGGGGATCGCAGCCAACCTGGCTTTGGTCGGCGTGGGTACGGACACGGGGGGCTCCATCCGGCTGCCCTCCTCGTTCTGTAGCTTGGTCGGCATGCGGCCCACCGTCGGCCTGACCAGCCTGGATGGCGTGTCCCCCTTTGTGGGCTGCCAAGATACCGTAGGACCGATGTGTCGCACCGTCACCGACGCCGCGCGCTTACTCGACACGCTCGTCCTGCCCACCAGCCCGCAATCCCTGGCTCCCAGCGGAGGCTCCTACGCGGCGCATCTCCTGCCAGACAGCCTCCCGGGTCCCGTTTGTCTGGGCCATCTGCCACAGCTGGGTGCGGAGGAGGCGGCCGTGGAGGCACTCTTCACTCAGGTCCTCACCCGTCTGCGCGGACATGCTTCGGTCACCGTCCGGGACCTCGATATTCCGAGTCTCTCCTCCACGCTCGCAGCAGCCTCTATCATGCTCAGCCGTGGCCAACATGATCTCGACGACTTCTTGCGGACCACGGTGGGGACCAGTCTGAAGACGATCTATCGGGATCACGCCTACCCGCCCACCAACTTCGGAATACCGGGGGTAGCAACGCATGCTTCGACCCTGACGGACCGCTCCACGGCCTCCAACGCCCGCGATGCCCTCGACCGCATAATAACAGCCCATCTGGGCCAGGCGGGGGTCGAAGTACTCGTGTTTTTGACCGCAGGACGGGCAGCTCCGCGCCAGGAGGATATCACCCCGGAGATGGGAGTGACCTTCCCCGTGCATGCCATGCTGGCCAGCACGCTGCAGTGGCCAGCCATCTCAGTGCCAATCGGGTTTACAGCGACCGGCCTGCCCGTGGGACTGGAGATCCTCGGCAGGCCGCTCAGCGACCAACGCTTGTTAGAAGTGGCCTTTGTTATCGAGCAGATTGTTCAGGGACGCCGCCCCCCCACCGTAGATTGATTAGTTGTAGATTACCCTATAATAACCTGTCCGGCAAAAGTATCTTGATGGCAATATATATCTCCCACGTGTGTGAGCTCCTAAGAATACAACAACAAAACATCGAAGAGATGCTCTCCTCGTTTCACGGGCTAGTCGGTCTCCGTTAGCAGCCGCCGGATTTCCGCTACCCCGCGGTGCGTCGTCAGCACGCGCTCGACATCGTTCTCGTCATTGTGTGAAGAGAACTTGGCAATCACCAGCTCATTGTCCGGATCCACGAAGAGATTCTGACCGTGAATGCCCATGGCGAAAATCATGCGCGGCGCGTCGTGCACCACGTACCAGCCATTGCGGTAGGACATATTCTGGTACACCGGAGCGAAGAGCGGCGCGAAGGCGCCATCATTCCAGGCCTGGCGGTCTCCGTTGTTCCAGGTGTCTTCGAGCACCTCCAGGGGCACAACCTGTCGCGAATCCCATCGTCCGTTCTGTAGGAGTAGCTGTCCCACGCGGGCTAGATCTTGTAGGGATGAGCACAGCCCCCCAGAGGCGCGGGACTTGCCCCCGCGGTCCACAGTAACTTGAGCATCACTGGCGCTGCCCAGCGGCTGCCAAAGGTATCGGCTCAGGAGGCTGGGGAACGCCTCCCCGGTGGCAGCCTCCAGCACGAGGCCGAGTAGGTCGGTATTGGGCGAAAAGTACCAGAAGGTACCCCCGTGAGGGGCCTTGGCGGGCGCCTGGAGGTAGGTGGCAAAGTAGTCGCGCATGGTGATAGGCGGATCCGTAGCCTTGGGCTCGGCCCAGTGGATGGCAACTTCATAAAGACGCGCTTCGTCGTCGGTATAGTAAACTCCCGCACGCATGTCGATCAAGTCCTGGAGCGAGCAGCCCCGATAGGCACTGGTGGCGGCCAGCTGCGGCAGATAGTGCTCGACAGGAAGCTTCGGATCTAGTTTACCCTGTTGGGCGAGGATGCCGACCAACAGTCCCGTCATCGATTTGGAGGCCGACATGTAGATATGCTGGTCGGCGGCCGAGTGGCCCTGGTAGTAGCCCTCGAAGCGGACTTGGCTGCGGTGCAGCACCAGGATGCTGTCCGTGTCAGTGTGCTGGAGGAATTCCTTCCAGTTGTACTGAGGGCCCTCCGGGTTCTGGGGGTCCTGGGGGACGGAAAATGCCTCGAACGAAGTCTCCTGGCGGGGCAGGTCCCACGAGACCTCCTCGTCCGTGGGGATGGACGCTGTCGGAATAAACTGTTCGACGGTGCGGAAACTGGTTCTGCTGACGGGGGCCATCTTCCAGTTCGCTAACGTTGGTTGCGGGTGTGGTGGGCGCGGTGGGCGAGAAGCCGCGGCAGAGGATTGCGGTCGAGGATGCGTGGACCTTCCAAGGACCATCCGACCGCTGCGTGGACAGGGTCGGAGATTATACCCCATGGCCAAGATGGAGCGGCGCATCATCATCATCATGACGATGACAATCGAGACTGATGAAGGGTGATCAGTTGATGACCGAGTATGCGTGGCAATCGGCTTTTGTTTATGTTTGCAGGAGATGCAGGGAACGGCGCGGCTGAGAGTCCAAAGTCGACGTGGCCAACGCGGTGACCAAATGACGTGCAGAAGCCCAGTAAAAGCCAACTGATCGTCCAAGTGGCCTATATTCACACAGTCCAGTTATCGAGGGGGTCGCAATAACTGGGTAATATATCCACAATTTATGTGGAGCATAGTAAACCATAATAAATCCTTTGATATGTTCTGGTGAAACTCTAAAACCCAATCCGGCACTTCCGCATCCAGGAACTGTCATGTTGTGACATCAGGGGTGTAAGCTGTCCATACACCATGTGAATGCCAGAGCAGTGAAACGTTACATAAGACGGTGCCATTGTGTCCCTATGATTGCTGTAGACTACAGCCTACTCAGTGATGCCAGACAACCGATTTGCCGGTGATCACATGGAATGCAATCTACATGAGATCTTTTACTATGTTTTCTAGGTCGAATGCCGACCCCGGAAAGACAGTTAATCAATGTGTGATGCTACCCTTTCTTCTCCCATGGCTGCATACTGGGCATGCTTGGAGTGTTCAGCAGTATACAGCGAATAGACCATGACTTCTCTCCATGGCCGCGTCGAGACAGGCCTGCAACTCTTACCAGGGAGATGGAGTCGCAGCTGCATAGGTGCCTTTCACTAGTATTCTATTGTATCTCTATGGGATAGAGTACTATATACGAGCCCCAAGAGGGGGTAGTGAGCTAGTACATCTAGCAGTTCCTATCGAGAATGATGCCTGGAACTATATCAGAATAGGTGAGGACTTCTGAACACCTCTATTGTAGTTATATTCTTCCGACAGCCTTTTATCAGTGGGTTTATAACGCTGTACCACTGAGATGAATCTTGCAATTTTATATATTCAACCAGCTGTGCTGTTTAGATATTCGAGGAATAATTTTCTTTGTCTTTGATATTTTCTTTTGCTTTATTATTCATTCTTCTTGATATTTAATACCTTTTATTGTACCCGCTTAGTTCTCTTTTACTAGTTATTAGTAGCTTTCTATCCTCTAGATACTTATTAACTAATATTAATTTCCAATCTCAGAACAGGTAAAATTATTTATTCGCTGATAATTAATACCCGATAGACAAATAAAACAGAGATTACATGTTCCTGGAGAAGTCGCTCGCTGTTAAATTGTCATATAGATGATTGAGTCCAAATATAATTTAAGTATAGAAGGATATCTTGAGACAGTATAATAGCATTATAATCGTAAAGAGAATGGTATTATGTCTTCTTTTTCTAGGAAAAAATCTGACCAAGTAAAACATTTGGGATTCCTGCATCCCAATAGCATTGCACTGCAATGTCATTACCCTTGTGGTATAGATTTGCAATCTAGAGACCCAGGTCTATGATATATTTCATATATATACAGATACAGCGTTGTCGTGGTACTTGCCGTTACCACCATTTCCCCTAATAGATGCTGCTCTTAAATCAGATTAGATTAAGTTACATGACAGCTGATATAAGGGACACGCGAGGAAGCATGAGAGATGGAGGTCTGATAGTTAAGATAGGTAACTGTCCTGTTTTTAACTATACTGCAGCAGGTCTCAAATTTCTCTTAACTTGACTGTTAACCTGATGGAAGATATAAATGATCCCATAGTGCATGCGTGTGGATACAGTAGAGGATAAGCCATAACCATGATATTTAGAAACCTACACATGATGAAAGATAAAGCAGTCGTCCATTACTCGCCTACCCAACCCATTCTCCTACTACTATATATAGTCTCAGCGCCTAATGCAACTACAATGCTTACCCCCACCCTCCAGAGAAACATCCAGATTTCGGGTGAGTGGCTATTGGTTCCTTTATGAGATATATTTCCCAAAGTTCGTCCATTAGCCAGATAGGGTCAACTCTCCGAAAGAATAACAATAATTCAGCCCGCAACTGTATGTCTATGGCACAATTCAAGTCTTGACACGACTGCTTTCTTTTCATAGGCAGGATACTCACCAGGACCCTATTGCCAGGCCTAGCACATTGGAGATGGGGAGGAGGAATATAAACCCAGCACAGCCGTGATACCATCGACTTTTGAAAACTAATTATTCATGCTAGCACTACCGAGCCACTTGGGCAGATCATAACCAAGAAGCCGAATAAAACGCTAATAATTCCGGTATGCCGCTATCTAGACCCCTAGGAGCTAATCCGCATCCATCCTTCAATATATCTATCTATCTATGTATCAATCCCATAAACCCCCAAATCCTCCTCCATTCCCACCAAAGCAAATACTGCACTCTCCTTTCCCCCGAACACCCTCAACTTCCTCACCCCCCTGAACTCCAGCCCACTCTTCTCCAACACCCTCCGACTACGCATATTTTCCGGCGCACAAAACCCAAACACCCCCTGCACGTTCCACTCGCGTTGCACGTACTCAATGACCGCCTTTGCTGCCTCAGTCGCGTATCCTCGCCCTTGGTGTTCTGGAAGAATAGCGAATCCAACGTCTGGTGCAGAGTAGCCATTTGGTGGATCGCCTTGCATGAGGCTTATGGTGCCAATCGGGAGCGTGTTTTGATGAGGTGAGTCGGAGGTGGGCCTGAGGTTGACAAGGAGGAGGCCGAACCCTTTGCGGGTGTATTGGGGAATGATCCGGGTCTGAATGAAGGTCTGGGCGGCATGGCTGTCTGTGATGGAGGTTTTGCCGTTGGTGGCGATGAAGTCGGGGGTATTCCAGAGGTGAGCGAGGAAGGCGCTGTGGGATGGGCTGGTCGGGTCGAAGTAGGTGATGTCAAGGCGGGCGGTGGAGATGGAGAAGTTGGTTGGCGGGTTGGAGGTGCTGGTCATCATGGCGGTACTAATTGCGATGTGGTCCAGTTTGTATAGCAAATGGCCGAGGTGAGGTTATATATATATATAGGAAGCTTCTAGACTCGTGGTGTTATCAGCAGTAGGTTGTTCAAGATCCCCAGGTTGTTTAGGATTTAATTTCCAAGGATACTAAGAAGGATGCTGGATTGACTACTAGTAGACGAGTCCAATCAAGATGGCAAGTTGTACGGTTAGCAGCGGTTCTTATCGTATGATAAGGTCTGACAATTACCGCGGATAAGCCAGATATCGGGGGAATCTAGAAAATCAACCAATGCCATTGTTGTGGTCTGCGCATGCTTACACATAATTCGGAGTCATCGATTGTAGACGCTGATGTGAGATTCCCCCAGAGCCTCCTCGAGCACCAACGCCACCTCACTAATTATTACGAAAATCTGGTTTACCCAAGCGGAAGCGGCATTCCGGGTTGTTGGCCCCAAAGGCTGAAGAATAGAAGACCGGATGGGAGTTCTTGGCAAGCCTGCGACCATAGCCAAGGTAAGGGAGCCCTCTATGCTTCAAGAAATATTCTCATGGGTCCGTACTACCACATACGGCTTTCCTGATTTTGTCACTGTCACAATCTGTTGATGACGGTACGGTGCTACGAAACACTACTAATCTCACCCCCACCTCCTCCCGGGCGTGGGGTTTCGGATTCGGATTTACTCATACACCGTCCCAGTCAACGCATGAAACCCGTGGCTTTGCGGGAACTGCTCCACTGCTTGCTCGGCAGCTTCGCTGCTAATAGCTACACTTACTATATATATATTTCTGCCTTTAATATATGCCTTAGTTGAGAGCTTGACATCGCCCAGATTTAAATCTGGAGATTCCCCAAGCCCTCTCTCAATCTCTGTATGCCCAGAGAACTCAGTACTCTACCTGATCTATTTCCGTGTTGTCTACGGCTCCGAATTGCCTGAAGCCCCGTGTGTATCAAAAATTTGGCTACTCGGATTACTAGTTTAAATATATTAAGAATCCTCTTCAGATTTTCGTCTCTCTCAGGCCAACAAGTGCTTAGGCCGCCTCCAACTCCAGCATACGGCGCAATCCTGCAATCTACTGTCTCCATCCCCAGATCCCACCAAGATCCAGATCTCGCATACCTCAGGTTAGCTTTAACACCAACCTTGATAGCCGCTTGGTAGGTCTCCGAAGGAACCTCCTAGCGCCACCCAACCGCCCACTTTCCTCCGCTAGAGGAGTAGGAAGGGACCGTGAGAAATAATGACCGAGCTTTGACACACCAAGCGCCGCTTTTCTAAAGACTATCCAACACCGACAGCGGCGGGTTCAGAGATCTCTCCGCCCGGACCAAAATGCCACCGCTACACACCGGGGCTCAGTGGCCAAAACAGGTCCGCAGATCAGGGCGCCTTCACCGAGAAATCATATTGATGGAGGGAAAGCCACCGAGGCATTAAAATAGTAGAAAGAGCTCGAGAGCAAGAAGATATTATTATATAGACTAATTAACATCAGTAATATCCGATCCATCCAAGAGAGGAATCTAATGCGAATCATCTCTAAGTGGCTTATCTTAGTAGAAGCATGGGTAAAGATAGATATACCTATTGACAGTGAGATATTTCTCGTGAAGGATGGACTATAGACCTGCTTTATAACATGGTTGTAGGCAGTGTCTATACGGGTTTTCCATACCTCTTGTTCTTCTGACACTGATGAGCTGCTGGCCAATCAACGTGATTCATACATGCTTGCACCGTATAGTCATTGCGGTCACGAAGTGAATAAAGTGCAGACAGGGGCAGTTCTCGAAAGAAAAGCATAACATTCCAAAATTCTCATAGTGGTGACATGCTACAAACGAGAAACAAAAGAAGACAAAGACAAAACCAAGCTTTTCAATTGCCCACCCGGTGCAAGTGGAAGCCTTTACAGGCCCCTTGTTCCATCCACCCCTCTAGCACCCACAGCAGGACACGCTCCCTCGTCGCCATTCAACCTTCATCCTTCACGCAGCCCCCTCATCCCTAGCCGCCTCAGTCCTTGCATACGCCGCCTCTAAATCCGCAAGCCGCTGCTTGATCGACTGCGGCTTCCGCTGATACGTGCACAGCGTCGCAACGAGGCACGCCGCCGCGATACCCGCACAGATGCGCATGTCGGTGTTGAACGTACTAACGTAAACCTGGCGAACGACAAGCTGTTGGCGCACGGGGAGCCGGTAGATCGCGGCGGGGGTCCGGTAGAATTCATTCAGTTGCTCGGGTGTGAGGACGCCGGCGAGCGTGTGCTGGACGTTTGTGTTGAAGACGATGAAGCCCGAGGCGATGCCGATGCTTCCGCCGAAAATGCGCAGTTGGGCGACGATGCCTTGAGCGACGGCTATAAAGGGGGTGGAGGTTAGTTTTTTTTCCTTGATATTTAGACGAGTATCAAGGGATGTCTGTTTGGATTACCCCAGCCAGATATACGCATTGGAAGAAAAGAACAAGGAACGCACGTACCATGATCCTGAAACTCGACCTGCATCGTGGTAAGAAACGTAATTGTAGAGAGACTCAACCCGATCCCAAACCCCAGAATCGCTTCGAGTCCCCACTGCCCCGGTGCAGGATCTATTGAGTCCGTCAGAGTCGAGAGCGAGGCACTCCCTATCACCATGAAAATGCTTGCCAGGTTCAGCGTCCAGAAGGCATTATTTCGCTTCGCAGACGCGGCCCCGCCGATTGCAGAGCCGACGGCTGTGCCTGCCATCAACGGGAGGAGCAGAATGCCAGATGCGACCGCGTCCTTCAAGTTGACAATCTGCGCACGCAGGGGGATGTTGACGATGACCAGAAGCATGACAAATCCCGTTAGGATGGTGCTCCTGTTGCGGGCCCGTCAGTGGGGTGCTATATAATATTCTCCGGGGATCGCTTCCAAAGAAACTCACACGAAGCCAGCGACCATGACACGGCTTGACAGTAGCCGGAACGGCAATTGAGGCCGAATATGCTTGAATCTCGGTTTGGACAAGATAACCCACTGCCAGTAGACGAGCGCTCCCCATGACAGTGCGGAGATGATGAGGACGATAATCACGGGGGCGCTGTTCCACGCATAGGCTCTGATCGCTGCTTCATTCAAGATGAAGACGAAGAGGACAGATCCGACAAGTATGAGAAGTGCGCCGAGATAGTCAAGGTGCCGGAAACGAACATTCTTCGCGAAATGGAAATCGTTGGGCCACACGAGCAGCAGGGTGACCAGAGGAAGAAACGCACATGGGCCGCTAGACAAAGTGATTAGACAGTTTTCTTTATTCGCATCTTTTGAGCTGTTGCAAGGACGCACTTTATCCAGAATCCCCAGCGCCAGGTACGGTAACTCGTCAGGGCGCCCCCGATCAACGGCCCGCTAATCCCAGCAAGGGCGACAACCACGCCGATGATGCCAGATATTGCAGGGAGTAAAGGAGGGGGGCTGATCTCGGGATATATAATCATGGCCATCGCGTACAGCCCCGATCCGCCGATTCCCTGCATCGCACGGAAGCCGATGAGCTGGCCCATATTCTTCGACGCGGCGCATCCCATCGACGCGCCGAGGAAGATCACGAAGCACATGCACAGGAGGAATTTTCGGCCAATAACATCGGATAATCTTGCCATGAATACGGCGCATCCTGCGTTTGTGTTGAGTGAAGATGTCTCGAGAAGAGCAAAGCAAGAAGTGGATATTCACCAACATAGGACAGGGTGTACGCCAGGACGATCCACGAGCAGGTTTTGAATCCATCGAATTCGTCAGAAATGGTGTATAGCATGGTCGAAATAATGGTGGTATCCATCAAAGACAAGAACAGTCCGATGGCGATGCTTCGGGAATTCATGGTCAGTGCTCCGTCACTCATGGCGCCGGCGAAGCCTCTCTTGCGGTCTCACCAGAGAAGAATAATCACCAGCCTCCATGTTGCAATTGTTGGGCGCGGAATTTCAAAGGATGGAGACACATCTTCGCTGGTAGCCGTGGGTACCTCAGCACCCATAATGATTACCCAAGCAGGTGGTAGAACGATGTAGAAGGGAATTAACACGGACAGATACAGGCGTATCTGTATAGTGAACAATATATTATGGCTGGCGAAAAGGTGGTGCCTAGACAAGGCTTCAGCCCAGCTTAAGTGCTCAAAACTGCTAAGCTCAATGCCAGTGACACCCTCTCCGCCAACACGCAGCAGTGCTTGGCGCTGTCGTGAGGGGAAAAACCAACCGGCGAGTTTCTTCGGCCAGGTGTCGGCTGCGGCGATGGACCCTTGCTAGTGTGGGCTGCCCGGCGTGACTGTGTCAGGTGCCAGGCTATCCTCATAGTGCGATCTGATTTGGCATTTAGCCTATCTGGGGACGGGGCTACTTGCGTACCCAAAATTGCTAGATTCGCCGATGGACGTGTCGGACGTTCACCATGCGGTATCAACCTCATGCGGCCGAAGAAGCCTCTAGAGACCGACGGCCAGGTACAAGTATCCCATGATTTGTATGGTCCAAGTTGCTTCAGACACCATAAGACAATAATTATCCAGGAGTGGCAACACATGCCCTAGTACCAACAATCCAACAATGAATGATTCAACGATGAAAGCCGAGCATATCAGCTCTAGCACAATGCTTGCACCCCACTTATTTTCCTGCTTCGGGGTTCCAGGACGTGGGCTACACCCCTGCAGAAACGCGATTCAGCCACAGTTCTGGACTTGTACGGAATAAAAACCGACATCACCGCCCTCAGCACCACGCTCGATGGCTTCGACGGGACTTGAACGGAGCTGTTGACGTCGAGTATGCCAAGACCGACCTGGAGGATGGTCTGAATCAAGCCATCAACGATGTCGTCGCCTCTAGCACGTTTGCGACTGCGAGCAGCACAAGAGTCACAAACTCCGTGACGGGCCTCAAGCCGACCTTTCTTCAGGAGAATACTACTGAGGTTATCTCGAGCCAGAATGACTGGAACAGCCCCTGAACAGGCACGTGTCATTAAAATCAAGTGGCAGAAGCTTGGGATCAGGGTCACTGCCTTGATGACAGTCGTGGAAAACTCGCACCTCATTGACCTGCTATTCAAAAATCTTCCATATCGTGCCCTTCAAAGCCATGCGTTAGTGTCCGGTGATCACCTATATCACATTATTCCTGCCGAGGAGTTCATCGAAAGAAGCTGCCTAAACCTCATACGTGTTATTCAATACTCACACAGATTGGTATTAGTGCACGTCTGCAACCCATACTGTCCCAAACACGGCTGACACGCCGGATGGGACTGTGTTTCTCTACAGAAATCAGCATATGGCAATAAAGTATGGCCCTCTTTCTGAATATCTTCCTGCTGCACCTTGTAAATTTGTCATCCCTGAGGACAAACACAAGCTGCCAAAAGCCGGGAATAGCCTGTGGCATGCCTGTTATGATACCGCACAGGCTATTAATGTGGTGGTTTGGGACGCTACTCAGTCTGAACTGACTCATTATCTTCCATTCCAAATCCGCCGGACGAGTGCTAGAGAAGAGGTCAAGGATATTATCTAAGAGATCCATGTAAGAGTAAGTGATGCCCTATTGTTCAAATCAAGGTTCATAATAAATTATGTAGACATTGCTAAAAATATCTTGTTTGATATCAGACTGAAACGTCGTGGTCGGGACTATCTCAGGACCTTGAGCTTATTCATAAGGGTCTAGCACCTTCGGGCACAGGCTCAAAAGGTTCTTATTTTTTTACGATGGTTTCCCTCCAAGGACAGATAAGAGCTCTAGGCTATACCGTCCTGAGTAATCTAGTTCGCATGGCAGTAATTCAGCCTCACTTTGATCTGCAGCACTTGGTCACTATGTACAGAATTCTGGCGTCGCCAATTGTCGAGTTCTGTGGTTATATGGTCACTAGATTTCTTTTGGAAATGCATGGAAAGATTGATGCGGCTATTAAGCACAGCGTTGAGAATAGCCCTGACAAGCTGGAGGATGATCGGTGCATTTGCTCAGTATGTTACTATGCTTAACGCCCAAAATTTGCAACTCTTTCCCTGGAAGCTTGGGGCTGAGTACCAAATTGCACTGCCCGTGTCCTAGGCTGCAACCTCGCTTGCAGGCTGCAGTAGCTGGTATGGATGCTTCTTACTCAAACCCCGCCCTTCTACAAAGATTCCGCGCTACCTGATATTAACAGGGATGGGGAGGCAATCATTTCCTGCACATGAGGTTATATCGGGATTTGCTACAAAAGACGAGCTCCAATCTGCGCATCAACTGGACTCATTTGACATCATAAAAACGAAACTATTACTTTGGGTTATGGGCAATTTCTAATTGTGAAAGTGGAACAACCCAAAGAATCCATGACCTTTTGTGTTGTATGGATCAATCTAGTTTCTAAAGACTTACTATTTCGCACTAAGTGTGATTAGTGGCATTTGTGTGAGTAGTGGTGGTACAACTAAAAAATCTCATTTCCTGGTCTTCTCAGCTGAATATCTAACTAATGCCTAATCTGGCTTAGGCCATGCGTAGAAATGCTCTATCCACAACTTGTTTGACACCCAAGCAACCGAGAATGGAAATCGCAGTTGTGCCGACCGAGTAACCGGAGTACTCCCGAGCTGAAAATGCAGATCATGATCCTGTGGGCTACTATAGCCAGAATTATCACAGTCACACTGCAACTAAACGCGCAATTCCAAATCACACTTTAGAAAAAACTAATGCCTGCCAAATATGCACCAAACACATATCTGGACTATTACTGTTCGTAACATGAATCCTTGGTCCGAAAGGTCACTTCTTATTGGGCTGTGTTGGTGTACTATGATTAAAATCAAGTAAACCGATGATCTCAACACTACCGTGCGGGTGAATGTTGGAGTAAGATACGTGTTTGCAGTGCATGTGCTTTTGCGGATTCTTTCTGGTCACAACGGTCACAACAAGCAATGCCTCAAAGTATATCTGGTTTGTCTGTGGGAAATTGATTGCAAATATTGATGATACTATTAGAATGTTGAGATATTAAATATATTATCGACGCAGAACATATCTGCAACAGTGGAAAGTTACAACTTCTCGCCTTATCTGGAACCTCATGTGGAGAGATTGAGCCTATTGTTGCTGACTACAATCCAAGAAACTAAGCATAAGCTGTTTCATATAGTCATTGACTACCACGTCCCAACACTCCACTGATCTGCAACGGAAATTGTAGTCTGACTAGGGTAAAGATACACTATCTGTCTATTCGGCAACTAAACTGATGTGACTCTTCTGCATGTGCATGTGCATGGAGACAGCTAAGGAGTGTATCACAGCTAGATCGACGGCTCACCAGTTTATCACACCCGCTTCTGAATCTCTACTTCGACTAATGATATCATGCCCAACCTGATAGACCACAAACAGAAACCAAGCCAGAAAGATCCTTCATGAAAGATATAAAAGCAGGGGAGAACCTCCCCCTTGTTCCATATCTACTCAAGCACTCAACCTCAGATACTCTTCTTCACTATGAAGTTTATTGTCTCTGCGCTTGGTCTTGTCAGCCTTGTGGCCTCGACTGTAGAGGCCTCTATGGCATCGCGCACTCTCGTCCCCGCGCACCCCCCTGGCCACAATGCTACTGATCCAACCCATTTGGTTCCAAAGCTGACGCAGGCTCTCCATTATCGTGAGGATGGCAAGACTGGTGGGACTCCCATCTCTTACTCCTATGGTGAATAAATTTCTAACTGACAGGTCAATCAGAAAAGGACCCATCCTCCTTTGGCCATATGGTCTCGAACTTCAATCACCCCACAGTCGTTCTTGACCATTCCACGCACATATCCAGTGTCACCTGTTCCCCAGGTGAGATGAACATCTGCTTCAAGTCTGAAGATGCCGAACATCAGGCCAGTGAAGAGTGGAACCTGAGCCAGTCGCCCCTTATCCTGGCGACCTACCACTCTGGATGCGGTGGCTACGCGAGTGGTTCACGAAGCTATTGGAACGTGTCCTCAATTACCTTTCAATCGGGGCAGCGATGCGCGCGTGCCAGTGTGACTGAGGTGCCCCTGGAGGAGGCGGCGAAGGACTTCGATCTGGGATTCGGCCATTACCAAACCTCAATCGAAAAGGATGGAGGAATAACTCGTCGCGGAACAGACGACACCATGATCGCCTCAAGCAGCACTGAGGACATCACCGACGACCCGGAAGCGCTTTCTGACTTCTTTGGCGTCAAGATCACAGAGGACTACACCGAAGTGCCTGAAGCCGAGCCTCTCCAATACAACGGCTCTGCAACCATTGAAAGGAGGCAAGTACTTCAGCGGAGATGGGACCCTGTGGGTTGGATCAAAGAGAAGGTTACGGTACGGGTTCCTCTCAACGATCGTTTGCCGTTAAAGACCTTGAGAAAAGAGGCTAATTAATAGCAGCAAGTGAAAGAAGCCGTTGTGGAAGTGTACCATGCTGTTGTTGAGCCGATTGTCAAAAAGGTTGTTGATTTTGGCTCGAAAATCGGCAGCCTAATTCAGGATCCCCTGGGCTATGAGTGGAGCCTTGGAGCATCGGTCAGTCAAACCTGGAATATTGGAGGGCAGGGTACTCAGAGAGTTCCCACAACCTCTGGTCTATTCGGTCAAGGCGAGGGTCTAGTGATTGCCGCTAGCGGTGTCTTCCCTGGTGAGCTCAGTTGCGAGAACTGCTATGCTAAGGGTGACGTGTCAGTGTCTGGCCACATTGGATGGAGTATCAATGACGGTCTCAAGACGGGCTATCTCAAAGCCGGGGGGTCATGGGACTCGCAATTGGCGCTGGCCATGAAGCTGCAGGGCCAAAAGAAAATTGAGGGATACAAAAAGCAGCTGCTCTCCAAGAACTTGGTCAACCTGGAGATCCCCGGTGTTATTAGTATCGGACCCGAAGTGTCGCTCAGTGCCGTGATTGATATCTACTTCCAGGCCCAGGCAAACGTCCTCATCGGAGCCCGCTTTGAGGTCTCTTCTGGTGAGGCACACTTGGATTTAGTTAACCAGAAGAACAACAAGCTCAGTGGTTTTAACACCAAGTTTACGCCAATTTCCAAGTTCGACGGGCCCGAGGCTTCAGTAACACTTGATTTTGGCCTGCCGCTCGGTCTGGAATTTGGCATTGATCTGCTCAACGGCAAATGGAAACGTACCGCCGGCATCTTCGACCAACCTTCATTCCAGGTCGTTGGCAAAACGCTAACATCAGAGTGCGACGGCATTGATATCAACCTGCTAGTGCAGAACTACTTCTATCTTAGTGTAGGCGGTCTCTATGACTACGCCATCGACCTCCGCGAGCTGTGGAGCAAGCCTTTGGGATGTGTCGGGTATGTTTGCGGTCCATGGTCTTTTCGAAAACGGATTGTTCGCTAACTGCATGTTTCCAGTACTTCCCAAACCTCTACCGAGTCGGGACAAAGCTCTTTGGCTAGCAGAATGATTGCCATCGGAGCCCGCCAATCCAACACTACGCTCGAGGATCCTGAACAAGCTGTCAACCAAACCTTCGGCAACGGGGGCAGCTCATCACAGCCTCCGACCCTGGTTCCTGTCGAGGTTAATGATAGCTTTATTGAGCCCGTCACTGGTTTCTCCTACAAGCTGGTCTCGGATATTAACCAGACGGCCATCATGATCTCCGGCAAGGAAGATCGCCTTTACCTTGCCCCGTATGGTGACCCTGATGCCAGTAGCGGAGCTCCCTTTGCGGTGGAGGCCGAGGCCTCAGAGTCCGTGCTTATCGGCGACGTTTTTGGTGGATACTTCAACTACAATCCGACCGAGATGAAGCAAGCGGGAGTTAGCAACCTCCGCTCCTCCAGATTAACCAATATCCCGGTTGGTTCCAAATTCATGTGAGTGCAATCCAATGCTGAGTGTATATATTTCGACGCTAACAAATATAGCGCGCTCGCCGAAGTCCCGGCTGAAGAAGTTGGCCATTCATCGGGTATGTACGTGGGGGTGGATGAGGATAACATTTACGCCTTGGTGGCATGCAGTGTGATCGACATGGGGACTCGCGTATATGTGGCCAACGCCAGTACCAATGCGCTGGATCAGTTGAACAACAACGAACTCGCAAATAATGTGGTCGGTGGTAATGTCCGCGGGTGCCAATATGTTTATTTGACATCTGGTACGAAGGGTTTGTTAGTGGCTTGAGTATACCTTTGCTAAACGCCTCTAATTCCTTTCTTTTTGCTATTGATTTATTGGCATCTATGGTAACAGCAAGGGCATGTTAGCCTTATGCCAGGTTTCATGTATCGTGTCAGGATATCAGACAAGTCAAGGAGGTTTTTATATATAGCTATAACATATCAATGTCGGAGAAAGCTACCTACTTTATATAGAAAACGATTCAATTCAATTCATATTCTTATACCTGATCGAGCCCGCTAAGCAATATGCTAGCTATGCAGGTGCATCACTGTTTGAAGCAGGAATATAGCCCCGAACTCTATCAAATTCCTCCAACTTGCAGTAGACACATGTAAAACAGAAGGCAATGCATGCTATGATGTAGGAAGATTATCGCCGTAGCTAAATATAACTAGAATAAATAAGAAAAGCAAAGCATAGTCATACAAAAGTAGATATAATTAAGTGTAGCAGTTGGCCAGCCAGCTGCCTAGCTAGCTGTCTGTAAATTTATTCTCTTTGTTCTTCGTTCATATTCCTGCTTCCAGCATGCATGTTCTTTTTAATATGCGTGGTCTTTCCCGGGTGATTTAATCCGGGGCGTGTGTGGGTCTTTTTATCTATTATCTTGTATCTATTTCAATAGGGAGCGGGCCTTACCATAAGGTAGGCGGAAAGTAGGCGGAGGGTGTTGGCATGAGCGGAGGCCGGTGTGGAGGAAGCCTGGCTGGTCCCTATAGAAATACTAAACACAATCCAGTATTAGGCAATGCAGGGATCCTTAGGTTCTCCTCGTCCAAATCAACCCGGCTCGTATTCTGGAGTCTCATGATTAACGATGTAGCTATACATACAGCCGAAGATGGCCACCTGGCAATGTTCAGTAGGCAGTCACATACAAGTCCTAAGTCTTGTATAGGAATCGGACCAGTCGGAACTTCAGTTTACTTTTACGTTATTCATTACACTTCCAAAACACGAAGAACCATGCGAGTGGTATGTAACTTCTCCTGTTATGCTCACCACGTGAAAGATCACCGTAACACTCTTTTCACAGGCCTGTAAAACAATACTTTCTTCTTTATCAAATGGAAGACTGACTAAACCCAGCAAAGCTACTTATCATGGATGTAAATAGATATATATACTTGATTAGTAGTTTTAATGGGATTCACAGCAGTATATTCTCCTGCCCCGTTCTGTCTTATGCCCATCTTAACAATAAAATAGCCAAGATAATAGATGAACACCGGTCGCTAGGAGTGCTTGTGTTTGCTGCGCTGAGCGAATGTGTCTCTTCCCCTCCTTTCCGGCAGTAGCCGCTGTCACTGGCCAGTCCTCGTCTGATATTTGGCGAAAAGATCATCAGTGGGTCAAGTGGCCCACTTAAGGTAAATATATTACACGCACTAGTATCACTTCCAGTCGCTGTCATTGCCGAGGATGCCGGGGCTGACAGTACAAGCGATGCAGTCAATGGCTGTTCTAAGATTTTGCCCCCTAGATTCGCCAGAAGAGCAGATGCTCATTGGTAGAAGAATTCCCGGTTAATATATATATTGTTAGTACCTTTGCACTTGATGCTGGCGTCACCTTCTGCATATCAAGAGCAGCTATTCCCCTAATAAAGGAACTTGGGAAGGTATTGTTCGATAGGGCCAAAGTGCCGTCTTAACCATGGGGGCCATTTATGCCGTCCCATGACAAAGAGTGGGCCAAGTATGCAACCTAACTATGGGGGCCGTCTATAACGTTCCATAATAAGCACAGGGCCAAATATCCAACCTGACAGTGGGGGCCATGTGTAACGACCCGTAACCAAGAATGGAGCCAAATCATATCGTTCCTTCGCTAAGAAGTGTGCTCCATAAGGGCCCGTTTTACCGTTGGAAAAGACCGACAAATGGTCATAGCAAGTACGGATCACTGTACTGTTCACATGCTTGTATATGCTTGAATGTATTGATACGTGGAACAGGCCAACCCACAACATGTACGAATGTTCACAGCTCCACAATTATCTGGATTCTGCCTTGTCTTCGAGGTTGTATGGCCTCACTTGGTGTTATTTTTATGGAAATTCGTTGATTATCCTAATATACTCCTAGCAGGTTGTTGGAGGCGCTAGTAGGTACCAGTACCTCGCTAGACGTTATTGAATAGTACTTTTGCTACCATCAGGGTTCTCAATTCATTATAAAAGCTTGCTTCTGAACCAGGGAAATTCCTTGCAAAGCCACCCCTCGAATTCCAGAGCCTCACTTAAATTGTTCACTACAACAACATAACCATAATATCTTCATAATGAGAATCCCCAAAGATGACACTGTACCACAGCTACCAAAAGCGAACAGCTGGAATGGGACCACTGTGAAAGCTAAGGATCCTTATGCACTGATGCGCGATTCTAACGCAAACACTCGGTTAGTTTACCTAAGACGATGCCAATGTTTAACTTCACTAATATTATAACTAGACTTACGGCACAGCATTATCTTTGGAAGGAGCTACTCGGGTTCTTGGTTCATCCCGATATCGACACTCGTGCGGCTGACTTGAGAGTCGCTGATATTGCTACTGGAAACGGGTACAGTAATTTGTCTTGTTAAGAAGTAGTCATATCTGACTTTTGCAGTATTTGGCTTCACGATTTTGCTCGTGGAAAACCACCGTCCGTTGATCTACACGGCTTCGATATCAGCCTGGACCAAGTTGGCCCTAAGCCATGGCTACCCACCAATATCCACATGCATATCTGGAATATCTTTGAAGATGTGCCGGATGAGTTCATAGGCTACTTCGACATTGTACATGTTCGTCTGATCACGGTCGTTGTCAAGAATAACGACCCCAGGCCGATTCTAGCAAACCTGAGAAAATTATTGAGTCTGTCCCCGAATTCCAATTATATTGCTAGGCTGACAACCCATTGCATCAAGGACCCGGCGGCTACCTTCAGTGGGATGAGGTTGACACCATTGGATGTTCAATCAAATCGGTACCTGGGACGTCAGCGTCAAACCTTGATGCACTCTTCTCCCAGCTTAAAGGATATGACACGTAAGTGTACTAAAAGAAAGTTGCTAAAAGGATTGGTGCGAGCTTACTTCCGCCCCAGTTGGAAATATGACCTTACGCAAATAATGGATGAAAATGGATTCACCGGCTCAATGCTTTATACGTACGAATACGGACTCGGAAATGCTCGGTTTTGGAGTGATGTGTGAGTTATAAATCAGGCCAACACTAGCTGTCTATTATCACCTAACATTCACATAGATATGTGAGCACATGGAAGGAATTTGCAGAAAACGCACTCAAGACACCGGAGGCATCCAAGAAGTTAGAACACAACGCGATGATGGAGACTTTGAATGGTGCTTCCATCATGGTTCCAAAACTGGTCTGGGTCACGAAGAAAATTGATGGAACGGAGCAGTGAGTGGAGTACAAGCGAGGAATACCTATGTCTGTCACATACACTACCTAAACCTAGCCTTTGAGAATAGAGTGCATGGGAAGTTCTTTCAATTAAATTACCACACATGGACTAGGAGAACTCTCACATGCTATGACTCCCTACCTCTGTTTTCAGTTGTGCTCAACACGCCAAAGCATCTAGAGATGTTTGGAGTTCACTCTTTAGGTAATTATTACTACTACTAGTACTACTACCATCATGAGACCTTTCAGGCTGCCTTTTGTGCATATGTTTACTTTCGTTCCGTTCCGTTCAGTGGTTTTAGGCGCGGCGGCGAACTGCCTTCGCCGCAGGATGCGTCGTTTCACTTCTTTACGCGAGTTTGAGGGTTGTGATGGCATTCAAGACAATATTCTTGCTTCAGAGAGTGAGGCACCTGCATAGCTAGCATCTCAATTAGTATCATCAATCATATATAGGAATAAAGAGAGAATTGATTTGATGTTGGCCAGGCCGTATGCATTGGAATGGTGTCAGTTGGCGATAAGTCATGGAGCGGGTAAACGTGATTGGTGTGTGTTGCGAAGCCTACATCACGTGGTAGACTCTGTATAAACTATTTACTTTGCCATAAAACCATCAATGAATTTGGTAACCTGCTCCGCCAAAGCCTGAGGCTGGCTCACAAATGGCATGTGTCCGGTCTTGAAATCCACAACTTCCCATTCAACCTTGGACTTCTCCAGCCACATATCCTGCAACGATGAAGGGTTGCAACAGTCGTCCAAAGTACGCACATATGCTCTCCTACCATCAAACGCACTCTCCGCCCACGCTGGGGCAGTGGCGGTAGTTTCAAAAGCTCGGAGTGCATGTGGCTGCATTAGTCTATCCAATTCCGGCTGAAGGGAACGGTCGCAGTCATTGTACAAAACGTCCATCGCCGGTTCAATGATAGCCAGGCCCTTAGATGGCTGGGGACAAAATTATTAATATTCTATCATTATTACTGCGATTGTTCTGGGTAGACCGTACCTTGTCGACTTTGATAAATGGGGGGTAAGCACCGCCTACCGCATTGAACAGAGATTCACCATCGAGTGTGATGTTGCCCACCACGTAAATAAGGCCAATCACGCCAGTCGATTGACCTTGGGCTGTTCTGGTGCCCTTTGCAAGTCCTCTTGCTGCGCCACCTGCAACAACACCCCCGTATGAGTGTGCGATGATAACGACATCTTTTCCTTCTTCGTTCAAGAGAGGGAGTAGCACATTGTCACGCAAGTGAGCGATATCCTGGGGGGAAGACACATTGGCCGGATCAGAGGGGTTGCAACTGGGGTATGATCCTGGGTGTGTTGCGTATCCGGCTTCGGTGAGATGCGGCAGCAATTTCTCGAAGCCTTGGGGTGTGCCAAAGGCACCTGGAACGATAACGATGATTGGGAGGGTCGCAGGAGACATATTGGAAAGGTTCTGACTTTAGAATAGCTTGCGACGTTATTATGGTGAATATTATTGAAGAGAAGAAAAAAATGAAAATGGAATGAGAAGTCGGGACTGCTACCAGGCAGTAATCTAAAGAAGGCGGAATGGCAGAGTTATTTAACTAGTGAACTAGTTAGTGGTATGTATTTGTCATGGTTTGATTAACTAAATTTGCCAAGATTAACGTTAATGTATGATCCCTGCGGAGTTGTAGTGTAGGCTGAGCGTTAGGACCTGTCATCCATAATCAGCCGCACGTCAGGTTGCAACGGCTAGTACATACGGGTAAGTGGTAATTCATGTATTAGCACATGTACCTGCGGATGGGGGCCAAATGATCGTTACATTACACTATGCCGATCTCGGTAGGTCAGGACAGCCCCCTTCGAGCCTCTCCACATCTCACACTGACGGTTGTGGAGTCAACAAGAATTCAACAACTGTTATAACGGGCTTAGTGCGATGCCGATTATAAAATGTAGGGGCCAATTGATTTAGTCTACAGATTGAGGGCGGGCAATTAAACCAACGCCAATAAACTGATAGCGCTTGAATTGTTATCTAGGTTCTGGGGGCAACTCCATCGGAAAGTTCTCGTGTAGTCTTGGAACAATATACTGTTTTCATCAGAAGACAGCAAGCTGGGAAGAAAACCCCCATACGTGCTACAAACTAGAAATCTGCCCAGGTGTTGGTTTGTGAAAAATCAGCCACTCGCTACGGGAGGAAACAGTGGATCTTCAGCTTGCCGCACGCTAGTGAGGGATGGGTTTTGGCACTTTTGGGGGCTGAAATCAAACAATGCACCTTACGATCGGCAAGGATTTCGTTGTCCATGCCATTCCTGAATTCGGGCCCAATAGTGGGGACCATTGCCGTTGAGGCGGGCCGAAACCTCGGAAGGGGCCATGCAAAAGAAAGTACCAAACTTTTTGGCCCCCGGGGAAGTGCTTAGCTGCGCCACCTTGTCTTGTTTGAGAATATGACATGCCCATCATCATCACAAGGTCGTCAAAGTTGTGGGAATACTAATAGACCCGTAGATCCACTGCACGGAGGGCGAAACGAGACGTGCGTACATCGGCGATCCACAGCAGGCAAATTTCCCGTGCACGTAGAGGCAACGCAAGAATCACTTCCTATTCTTCCTGAATGGGGGATTCACCCTGGGCTAAACCAAACCAATAAGACGACTAAGAAGATAGGATCCATCGGTACGGAGTATGAGGGGGTCATAAGCATGGAGGCCGGACCGGCGCGAGAAGCGGCAGGTGGACACAGCCCATGCATTGTCCACACATCCACCCTCCCTACTCGGCAGCGTAGGACGTGCGCTGCTTTGTAGGCAGACTGTAGGCAGACGCGATGGTGGTCTCTCAGGGTCTCCCGGGCAGGGGCTTCCCAATGAGAAGCATCCAGACAACTCCCGTTACTGCATTTGTGAAGGGCTAACCATCGACGGGCGCCAGCCGAGGTACCATGAGGAAAAGCAACAGCTGTCCATACTATACTCTGACTCGTTATTAAACCCCTGTTAGTTTTCCCTTTCCAATTCTTCAGCCCCACACCCAGTCGCAACACCTGAAGGGGCGGAAAGGGCAAGTATTGGCCCACCGGTTGGTTCAGCCATGTCTGTTATATTACTCGGAGTATTCAGTACCCATTATAAAGGATCCTTCTCACTGTGAGCACTGCATACAGTCAGGTCTCCACAGGTAGAGTTACATTGTTTGCATGAACATTGATTTGCTTCTCAGAAATTCACAACTCTCTGTGGATATCATGTCTCAATCCATGCCCTCTGTGGACCTTTCTGAGTCTCGTCAATCTAATTTGTATGCTTCTTCAACAATACCGTTCTTTGTCGCTGTTCTCTGTGTTGGTCTTCGATTCTGGTGCCGCTGGAAAAACACTGCAGGTATATGGGTTGATGACTGGTTGATTTTAGCCTCTTTGGTACGTACTATCGCTTCTGCTCCCAATTGAGGGTCCCTAATATTGTTGATTAGGCTTGCGGCACTGGTCTGACGGCTTCGTTATTATGGTGTAAGGCGAGACCGATTTCATCCTATACAAGTATCAGAAGTTGACAGATGTAGGGATACCTCGCGCTCTGGGAAGGCACATTCAAACATTTGGACCCAATGCTACGGAGAACGCATATATCGGGCTATTCTCTTGTGAACTCACTTACACGGGAATCATTGTCCTTGTCAAGTTCTCCATCCTGGCCTTGTACTGGCGTCTATTCAACAGAGCGAACATAAAGATTCCCATTAGCCTTATTTCCACACTGGTCTGCATGTGGGGTATCGCTGTAGTAAGTGTTGTTGTTCTACCCTCGAGAAGGGAACTTTCTCTGACACTTCCAGTTTTTGCTCACCTTGCTACAATGTATACCTACTCGAGGATTATGGGATCAATCTGTTGATGCATCTTGCAATGTTGACAGCCAAAAATTCCTGTTTGCCATCTCAATCCCAAATATCATCATCGATGTTACGCTTCTCGCACTCCCTATACCTTATATCATGAAACTCAATACCTCGAAAAGCCATAAGAAGGCTATTATGTCGATGTTTCTTTTAGGCAGTTTGTAAGTAGGCTTCGCCTTCAGATTCTTGCCATTAGCAAACTGACCGAACAGTGTGTGTATCGCCTCGATAATGCGACTCGTTTCGGTGATGACTCAAGGTACTGATGCGGACGTCAGTTGGAACTGGGTAAATCAAGCCATTTGGGCTAACATCGAGGCTGATTTGGCAATCGTCTCAGGTACGTGCTGTCCTTGGTAAACTTAATGACACGTGGTAGTGACTGTATCAAAGCTTGCCTCCCAACGTTGCGACCCGTATGGGTCGCAGGTCGACGAAAGCTTTTTGGTTCTCAAGCCACCAACCAATCGGCCGACCCACCGTCTTGGGCTACGCCACAGAAACGTGCTCAGGCGTCATCATGGGCCACAAAAATACTTAAGTCGAGCTCCTACGATAACGAGGACACGCAGCCCTTTTCTACTCTGAGTAGTCATACGGAAGAAGGACCTCACCGTTTCTCGACAATGGAAAACCCACATACTGAAACGACCGTCGCGATCCCATTATCAGCCCTCAAGAAAGAAGCCACATATGACAAGGAAGGCATCACCGTCAACAGAGCTTGGGATGTAGAGTACAATCACTAGAGAAGGTCGAATGAATCATAAAAACACCTTTATCAGAATCCGTAAGCAAACGGAGCAATCCTACTCCGGTCAAGGCTATATGAAAATGTGTGTTCTCATCACTCGGTCTTAAACAAGATTACAAAAATGTTAAAACGACTGTACGTGGCATCACTGGATAGGCTATGGATTGCATTTGGCAGCTAGTGGTGTTCTCTCGTTACACGTTGCAACATATCATGCACTCGAGCCTGCTGATGAAACTACTCGGGATGGTATAATCGCATCAAGTCACCCAGGTCCGACTATATTCGAGGTGTTATAGGGAGTACTGACCACACCACAGGTTCACTCCCTTACCCTCGAGTTTCTCGTCAATAAGAGCCCATGGAAAATTCCGCACACACAGGGGAGCTTGAGACTATGTATATGACGACACGGTGACAGATCTGTTCAAACCCCAAAACTCGAAAAGCAAGTGTTCGCCAAGCGTCTCACATAGTTACTGAAAACATACCCCCCTATTCCAACAGCCAATGGGGAAACAACGTACCATGGCTTAGGATGAAACATTCATAGCGTCTTCAATCATTGTTACTTGGGGCTCATCCGTCCCCTTTAGGTCTCCAGGAGGAGTCATCACGTCCCCGAACAGCTCGTCCATCTGTTCGAGGGTCTTGCCCTTGGTCTCCGGGAAGAAGAAGATATAGCAGATCATAGCAATGAGGTTGAAGACGAAGAAGACGTAAAAGTAACGGAAGCCAATGTTGGACAGGGCTGTAGGCGAGAACTGTGCGAAGACCAGATTGACAGTCCAATTAGTAAAAGTGGTGATGGAATTGCCTTGGTTACGAATATCCACGGGGAAGATCTCCGCAGGGTAGACCCAGGAGATGATACCAGGCGATGTATAGAACAGGCTGAAGACGAAGTTCATTGCGACCATTGCCCGTAGCTGATTAGTGTTACTTTCATTGTAATGCTGGGACATGGCTGCATTGCAAACCAGTGCTGCTGCCATGCCCGCCGCTGAGACGATTAGCGGTCGGATCCGACCCACCCGCTCCAGAGCCCAGAGCCCGATGGTGCAATAGATAATCGACAGGCCGCCTGAGATACCGATGATCATCAGGGTGGTGCGCGTGTCGATGCCCAATGAGCTGTAGATGCGCGTCCCATAGTAGTTTATGACATTGATTCCTGACAATGGGCCAAAGGCCTGCACACCGCAGCCGAGGATGAGGCGACGGCGCCAGGAAGGTTTGGTGAGGATGGAGGTCCAAGTAATGGTGTTGTGTGCGCGCTCCGCCTCGATGGTGTCCCGGATCTCTTGATACTCCAGCTCGATGTACTGCGACTTTTCCGGAGTGCCGTCGCCATGCAGGTGGTGTAGTGTAGCCAACGCCTCCTCGTGGCGGTCTTGTTCCATCAACCAACGGGGGGATTCCTGGAGAAACCAGACACCGGTCATGAGAACAAGACCAGGGACGCATTGAAACGCAAGTGGAAAGCGCCCTGTGGATATAGGTTAGACACTTCGTACACATGCAGCATAAACAAGCCATAATAGGGGGAGATGCACATTGGAAATCGGTACTATTGAAGGAACATCCATATCCCAACCACTGCGCAACTAAAGACCCCCAACTCAACATCCACTGCAGTAGACCCGACATCATTCCGCGGGATGCGGCTTCGGCCATCTCACCGGCGTACATGGGCACGGTGGCGGTCAGCATGCCCACAGCTACACCCGCAATGAACCGACCGATGATGAGCATGGTCATGTTGATCGCTCCGCCTTGCAGCGCGCAGCCCACAATGGAAATGCAGGCACCGACAAAGACGGACATTTTCCGTCCCAGTCGATCACCAGTGAAGATGTTGATGATGGTTCCGAGAATGGCACCTCCTTGGAAGGCGGATACCACACCCCCCGTCACCGTATCGTTCGGGTTGTTAAAATATCGAATGAACTCGGTTTGGCCGATCGTCGAGGTAATGATACCACTGTCATATCCGAAAAGAAAGCCTATTCGTCGTCACCGGAGTTATTAATGAGTTTCCACCTTTATGTTCAAGAGGAAGTAGGAGAAAAAATGTCTACCTCCAATGGCCAAGAAGACAGCGGAGAGTAATGTTGATAGTTTGGCCATTTTGGCTGGAATGTCGGATGCCTGCTCTGCTAAGTGCCAAAACCGTAATGAGAAAGCTAGGTAGCAGCCTCCAGCTATATACGAGCAGTGAGGCTAGGACATGGTAAACTGGTGCCTTACTGACTTGGTGGGTATCTCCAGTAAACCCCAACCACAAGCTGGGGTCGGTGTTTGGGCTGTAGCTTGGCTCCATTGCCGCCGCGTCGAACCGAAGTCACTGATCCTGGGGTAAACGTGGAGACGGCTTTGGGAGACACTGACCCGAAATCGTCCCGGGGGTGCCATTGTAAGGACCATATCGTTGCCGAAGTTGAGCCAGATCAGCTTGTTCCCATCTTGCCAAGCGCATGAACTCCTGATCCATCCGGGGTGGTGAGCCCTAAGCGCGGCGCGCCAGTTCGAACCGGGTTAAGCCGCTAGCCAAGGCCACAGACAAAACAACCATGGACCTCGGATGTCCCGAGCCCCATTAGATTAAGAGAAACAGAAGAATAGCTACAAATGCTAGGCATTTCCGGAAACCTTCCGATTTGATTCCATTTACCCTTGTCTCCGAACGTTCGACGAGGCTGGCTCGGTCACCATCTTACCGACACAGTACGCGGAGAACAGTGTATGGGCACGATCCGGCCATTCTAGAGTTTGGTCACGCTGCCTAAACCAGTTTGGGCTTTAATTATCACTATCCTTCAATAATGGAGTACACGCCGTGGCTCAGGCTGACCTCCCCCCCGTCCACTGCCCGACTCTCCTCTCCTTCCCGACAATATGCCGAAGACTTGCCGCTGCGGGGAAGCTTCACAATGGCAGTAGTGCCAAAGGGCACACGCACATTCACAACCGCCTGACCCTGCTCGTTGCGCGTAAACTCAACGGCAATAGTTCCATAGGGGCAATCCACGCTTCCCTTGACATGCTTGAATTCGGCGTTATAAGGCGGGTCTACCACAAACGTACGATATGCCGGTCCTGTAGGCTTCAAACCCAAGACCGCCGCATAGAACCATTCATAGATAGTCCCCAGCATGTCATGACATTTGCTACGGCACTCGTCTTGCCAAAACTCCAACAGAGTTGTTTCTCCACGCCGCAAAAACCGCATGTAGGACGGGTGCTCTTCCTGACGGGCCATCTGCAACACCAAATCCGGTCGCTTCGCATCGGCCAGGGTATTGAAGAGGAAACGTAGCCCTATCTCTCCGGCACGTATGCGACCATC